GCTTTCAAACAGCATATGATGCATATAAATGTTGAAATAAAGTGGAGCTGTCAATTAACAGCTTCTCAGGCCTCCTCGTTTACTTGCAAACTTGTAAAATGAAAAAAACCTAACAAAACATATATAGAAAAGTCGATTTCATCGTATTGATATAAACGTCGACCACTGCAGACAAAATGAAAAAGAAATAAACATATGAAAATGGCCTTCTTAATGATTTTCACTGTAATTCCCCATTAAAAAAAATAAACGTAGCAGATTTCCTATTTTATTGGTTAAAAGTGGAAAACAATTGATGTAATTTATCTATCCAACTCTTTTCTGCTCACCACTGTATAGTTTAAGATTAGTTTTAGCATGACAGCTAAAAAATGTCATGATGTTTAAAAACATACCATTGTGACTGTTTAATACATTTTTAAGTTTCTCACTCTGAGTCTAAAACTAAAGAACGAAAAGTTCCGACTTAAATTTTAAGTTTTAGCTTAAATGTCACTTCTTACTTAATTTAAACCTGAATTTGAAACTGTCAAAATCAAACTGTCTTCAGTCCATATTTCGATAGTTCAAGTACAGCGTATGAGTGTTTGAACAATGGATAAAAACGTGATTGTACAGGATTGTAATACATACTTTAGCAAATCCCATAATTACACGTTGATAAATTACATTGTACATTGTCTGTAAATCTAAATGTACTTATCAATAACTACGCAAATTTTGTATCGCGATTATCCTAACCTAGCTACGTCTGTAAATATCTAACAACGCAAAACTTGTAATTACGTCTATTAACTTAATCTGTAACATAGAAATCTAAATAAACATCAGTTGGAAAATACGCTGCTTTGATTACAGTGTGAGAGTAATTACTTCTTGATTAGCGATCAAGGAGCGTCCTGAATCACTTTCTTGAAAGATAGATATAGATTAGGAATTGATGCAGATTAATACAGACATTAATAGTAATTGAACGGAATAGTTCTTATGCCTCGTGGAGAAGCGAGAGGGATTGATTCTTTACACAAATAAAGTCATGTCCGGATTGACATTGATAGAAAAGTATTATTGAATGGAATAGTTCTTATGTCACCTGGATTAACGAGCGGGATTGAGTTGTACCTGGATTGATACGGGTCTGAAAGCTTTTATTGGGGTATGGCATTCACACTGGATTACCTATAAAGGATGAGACTTCAAAGACGACTCTACAGAATGTATACTGTCTGTTTACTTATGTTTATACTGACCTTCAATTTTAAACTTGTTTCTTTATATGTCAATTCATTGAGTAAACCAGTAAAATACTATATTCAAGACAAAAAACTTATTTAACAATAAAGGGAGTTTTATTAATACTTTGACACAGTTTTATATCAATTTCTCGAGACAGGGACATAAAATAGAACTAATGTTGGTCGCGATCAACTCCTAAAATGTTTAGGCTTTAGACTTTACCCCTTTTTATTTTAACAGAATAGTCCCTTTAAGTGAACTATATACAGAAGGAGAAGGTCAAACCAATACGATGTATATGATTTTACGCACAAGTATGTGATTTTACGCATAGGTATGTGATTTTACGCATAGGTATGTGATTTTACGCACAAGTATGTGATTTTACGCACATGTATGTGATTTTACGCACAAGTATGTGATTTTACGCACATGTATGTGATTTTACGCACAAGTATGTGATTTTACGCACACATATGTGATATTACGCAAAAGTGTGATTTTACGCACAAGTATGTGATTTTACGCACAAATATGTGATACAGGGTCTTTACTAAGAAAAAGTCATTGGAGATCGAAATATATTTTTTACTTATAATCGAGATCAATACAAATAAACATGTATGCTGATACTATTATTAGAATATTATGAAAATGCTTGAACTTACGTGTTAATTAAAGTGTTTAGAAACTAATATCCTGATTTCGTGTGACAAGGACTCTCCCCGCTATTATATCTAAAAACCCTCTAATTATAAATATAAAAATAATATATAGCTGGTTACCCACAACGGTTGAAACTTTAAATCTATTTAGAAATGATTATTTAAATGTTAAATTATAGGCCCTCTTCAGGGATGATATAGCGCATGTTTACCATAAGATTGAAATCTTATTTGCTCTTAATCATAGCTACCTCTTTTTCAAGAACTAATATATTTTGAATTTCTAATATTTGTCCCAAATAGATTCTAGTACAATACATGGCAACGTAGAATTTGTACACTCTCAGTACAGCTGTATTCTGACGTCACAATTGTCAATTCAGTTTTTGTATCCGACAAAATTGTCAATAATAGTTATAATTCTAGAATAAAGTGATTATCTTACAGTAAAATAGGTGCAATTTTATGTGTTCTTTTTATCCTGTTTTACAGTTTTTTATTTAATCTCGGAAAACATGTCGGCTAATGTGATAAAATTTCATTTTCCTTTGACACTTGTGACGTCGTGTATAATTGGTCAATTTATCTGTTGCTACCTCACTTGATAATCTTTTTGCTTTGTCCGGATAAATTTTCTTTTCTCATAGTTGTGCATAAAATCAAAATTAGAAAGCTATCACAATGTTGTACCAGAGTCTAGTTCAAAGTGTACAAATGTACATGTAAATGTTCACAATTTATATGCAGTAGAGTACATTAATACAGTATGTTCTCTAGACTATCCATTTTAATTTCGAATTTTTTAAAGCTGTTAAATAAACTTTATAATGATTTAGGTGAATAAAAAACATCATTTGATTTATGCGAAATGGTCATTGGTCAATTATGAAACCAGCCTATTTCATAATTTGGTTTTCTTTTAATATTAATTTTAGATTTTCTATATAATGATATTCCAGGGCCCAAAAGGTTATATAGCATAAATATGTGAAGTACCCCCCCCTCCCACTCCCGCAGGCATCTTTGCGTAGTTCTAATAAACATAATAAATTTTACAAACCAATACCTTGTTATTTACTACAGTTGTCATGTGAACTCCGTGTAGTACACTTCAACTCACGCTCCATGCACGCATATCATACAGAGCGTTCCATATCATATTAGAATACATATAAACTTTAACGTGAAAAAAAACACATAATACTCGAAAAACCTAGCATTTTCTGCAAAAAAATTTCTGTTAGCCTCATTAAATTTTCCAAATGATTTATTCTTCTTAAATTTTCCGATTTGCCCTCCACAATCCTAATTTAGACCCATTGACGCGGTCTAATTTAATGTGGGACACCCTGTATTCTACGCCAAAGTTAGGACAGAATTTTTTTAAAATTACAATTTTAATTTGAATTCAGATTCAGAAAGATTAATAGTTTGCTATAAATTTTGGAAAAAATCAATTTGTACTTTTTTCTCTTTATTAAGCATGTCAAATTATACAACAGTAAAAACTAACAAAAAAGTTTACAAAACTTGATTCTTAATTCACTTTATTTGATTTTGAATCTAAAGGAACTTCCATTGATCATGATACCCTTTCAAATTTAAAATTTTGTTAACGCAAAAAATGAAGATATTCCTGTATTCTATCTGAAAATTGATAATTTTTTATTACAGCTTTCTGTAAAAAAACTTGCGCATTTATGCAGTAAAGAAAATTAAGGAAATTATGAGAATTTTTGTCTTTTCAAGATCGAACAATTATAATAATCCGTTCACCAGGTAGGGATGCGAAGGGTACAGCATGGAACGAGTTTTTATATTGACGGAATTATTTAAAAATTAAATCAAATGCTAATTCTTATTGAAAGATACTACTGAAGGGCCCGGCGTTGCCCTTGGAAAATAAAAAAAAAAAATTGAAAAAAACGTTTTAAAAAAATTTCGAAATTTTTTAGCCTATAACACCTCCCGGCTACTCATGAGTGTCCACAAAAAAATTAGTACAATCGGTCCAGCCGTTTTGCCGACTATGTCTAAATATATTCGATAACTTTACTGTAAGATTTTTTTTTATTATTTTAAGAATTAAAAATCAACTAAATCATTTGAAGATTTGTTTTACAAAGCTAAACCTTTAACCAAATCATTTAATGCTCGGCGTAAGATAAAAATAGGAAAGTAGCCGTCTACCATGGAAATAACAATTTATGTCAATGATTAGTTTTGGTTACACTACATTGAGAATATAACTTAGGAGAAGGGTTATACAGACAGGACATTTCATAGGCAGGACATTTCATAGATAGCACATTTTATAGATATAGGACATTTCATAAACAGAACATTTCATAGCTAAGACATTTCATAGATAGGACATTTTATAGATAGGACATTTCATAGATAGGACATTTTATATATATGATATTTCATATAAAGGACATTTGAAATTTTAGACATTTCAAAGATATGACATTTTATAGATAGTACATTTTATGTATGGTAAACTTTATGGATGGTACATTTTATGGATTGGACATTTCATCTATAGATATTTAATGAAAGGACATTTCAAAGTTAGGACATTTCATATCTAGGATATTTAATAGATAGGACATTTTGTAGATAAGAAATTTCGTATATAGGACATTTCACAGATTTGACATTTCAAAGATAGGATATTTCATATAAAGGACAATTAAAAGTTAGAACATTTTAAAGATAGAAAATTTCTTGGAAAGAAATTTCATAGATTGAAAAACAATACACTTCTTTTATTGTTAAAGATGCATTAGAACTTCAACTACGGAAAGCTGTTCTTTTAATATTTATTTTTTACTTTCTTTATTCAACAGTTGTTTAACTCTTTAATTTGATCTTCAAGTGTTATAACAAATAGTGTTGAAGATTTCAATTTCAACGTCCTTATTTTGGGAGAATATAAGAACTATTTTCTCATGGAAATTCAGACTCTGCTAAAATAATGATTAAGTCATGTTGTTAATGCAAAAGTGCATTTACAAATTTTAAACTTTATCTATATAATTTTTATCTTTGTGTAATCTAAAATTGTTTCAATTCCATAACTGATTTGAAACATCAAGAATATTTACCATTTTTTCTTCTTTCAGATCTGTGTCATAAGGGCGAAAAAACATGTTGGTTCGCTGCATATCGTTTTTTTTCATCGTAGCTGGTAAATAAAGATTGTTTTTTTAAATGGCTGTATCCATTAAGGATGATGATTTGTGACTTTTTTTTTGAAATCAGCCAGCCACCCACCTGAGGTCGCTGCGTTTTTACTATAAAAAAATATTGTAATCAAAAAAATTTCAAAATCGTCCATAGGATTGCAAAGGATTGCAAATTAACGATTTAATATTGGAGAAATCGCCGTAAAGCCTTAAAAGGATATTTCAAAAAAAAACTAAAAATGAATAATGATACATCAAAATAAAATTTTTTTTGTGGCTTTACTGTGACTTTTCCGATATCAAATTGTCAAATTGCAACCCTATCCTATGGACGATTTTGAATTTTTTTTGAATTGCTATATTTTTTTTAAGTTAAAACGCAGCGACCTCCGGTGGGCGGTTGACTCAATTCCAATATTGATAACTGAATTGTTGAGTTTTTTAAAAATTTAAACATTTCACAATGCACGATACACAAATGCTAACGATTAAAGGGACAGACCGGCTATGTAAAGTAGTTGAACTGAGTATGCAGTGTTGTGAACAAATTCTTTAGGATTCATTTGAGACATATACAACTTTTTTAAAGATCTTTAAATCCTGAGTTTGAGCGCAAAGTCGATGTTCAAAATCGTACTTTTGGGTGGATACGTTTTCAGATTTGTTTTTAAAATTATTAAATAACGACGACAAAAAACGATGTAAACAAAATTCTTCAGTAAACTTGTTAGTTGTTTAGGAACAGGTCTAGAAAATAAAAATTTATCTTATCATCGAAAATATGTAATCTTATTCAATTATTAGTTTCTATAATCTCTCAATTATTTACAAAGATTTTCTGCAGATTTTCTGGAATTTTTATTAAAAAGGCAACATTTTAAGAATTTGTAGAAATCTGCGAGTAAATTCATAGAAAATTAAAAATTCAATATAATTATGAAAGCAAAATAATTGATTCTCGCATTGATTTATTGACAAATTTCATTTGAGAAATATGTTCCTAACCATCTAATTAGTTTACTGCATAATTTCTACTTTATTTTTCGTCGTCGTTATTTAATAATTAAAATAAAAAGATTCTTAAAACGTACCCACCCAAATTCATGATTTTGAACGTTGACTATGCACTCAAACTCAGTGATTATACATCTTGGAAACGTTTCATATGTCTCAAATGAATCCTAAAAAATTTGTCCACAACACTGCATACTCAGTTTAACCACCTTACATTGCCGGTCTGTCCCTTTAAAAAGAATATTAATACCACAAGGATCTTTTATTAACAATTTCAGATTCTGAAATTTAAATGGATTTTTCTGTTAAAATTCGTGCATTCTCGAGAATAATAAAATTCAAAGTTTTTTTCCGTGCTAAATAGTTAAACTTTGAAAGTTCATAAACCTTGCATGGGGTCACATGACTTATCTTGCAAATTTTGGGCCAGATCGGTTCAAACATTTAATGACGTTTATCCAGGAAAGCGTTTGCTTGGATCAAGTTCAGTGGCTTGGATCCTGACACACATATAGAAAAATATACAAGATTTTTTAACCTTAGCTTAATGCTTTCCTGGACAAGCCAAATTATAATATTGATATCAAAATCTGGGTTGTTTGAGAAAACCCTATTATGTGTTAGGTTGTATTGAAGATAGATACCTTGAAAGAAGGAAATTAGAACTGGATTTGCACACATTCTATTCATGTTCTTACATATCACAAAACTCTTACAATTCATCCGAATAATCAAATCTTAATATTGGATTGGAAACATTAAAAAAGGGGCAGCCAGGATTAGGACAAACAGTTATAGGACACCACAGTATAGGAAAACCAGGTAAAAGACAACCAGGTATAGGACACCCAGGTTTAGGACAACCAGGTGTATGACATCCAGGTTTAGGAAAACCAGGTGTATGAAATCCAGGTATAGGACAACCTGGTATAGGACAACCAGGTTTAGGAAAACAAGGTGTATGACATCCAGGTATAGGACAACCAGGTATAGGAAAACCAGGTATAGGACACCCAGGTTTAGGACAACCAGGTGTATGACATCCAGGTATGGGACAACCAGGTATAGGACAACCAGGTATAGGACAACCAGGATTAGGAAAACAAGGTTTAGGACACCCAGGTATAGGACAACCAGGTATATTAAAACCAGGTAAACCACATCCAGGTTTAGGACAACCAGGTATAGAACAACCAGGTATATTACAACCAGGTATAGGACAACCAGGTTTAGGACAACCAGGTTTAGGACAACCAGGTATAGGACACCCAGGCATAGGACAACAAGGCATAGGACAACCAGGTATAGAACAACCGACAACCAGGTATAGGACAACAAGGTTTAGGACAATCATGTATAAATAGGACACCCAGGAATAGGACAACATGGATGGAACACCCATGTATATTAAAAGACTGAAGGTCAACCATTTATTATCTAACGTGCTTTAGTCAAAAGTTTGGAGGCTAAAGTAACAGTTTCAACCCCTCCTCCCCCCTCCTAGTTGACATCTGTTGAATCTGTCATGAGTAATAGGAGTCACGTACACAGCTAATTACTCTCTAAAGTGAACGAGTTAAAGTGATGCAAGAAAAAGAAGACAAAAACCCTTTAAGAATGAATTCCATATGGCGTCTTATTATTTTNCAAGTGGGGAAAGGAGTTGGGATAATTATTGTTTATATTGTAATGTTTTTTTTTATGGTAGTTTAATTTTGCATGGTTTTACTTCTCAAGGTTTAGTTTCTCATAGTTTAGTTTCTAATAGTTTGGTTTCTCATGGCTTAGTTTCTCATGGTTTAGTTTCTCATGGTTTAGTTTCTCATGGTTTTGTTTCTCATAGCTTGGTTTCTCATGGCTTAGTTTCTCATGGTTTAGTTTCTAATGGTTTAGTTTCTCGTGGTTTAGTTTCTTTTAGTTCATTTCTCAAGGTTTAGTTTCTCATGGCTTAGTTTCTCATGGTTTAGTTTCTGATGGTTTAGTTTCTCATGGTTCAGTTTCTCATGGTTTAATTTCTCATGATTTAGTTTCTTATAGTTCATTTCTCAAGGTTTAGTTTCTCATGGCTTAGTTTCTCATGGTTTAGTTTCTGATGGTTTAGTTTCTGATGGTTTAGTTTCTCATGGTTTAGTTTCTCATGGTTAATTTCTCATGGTTTAATTTCTCATGATTTAGTTTCTCAAGTTCATTTCTCATGGTTTAGTTTCTAATGGCTTAGTTTCTCATGGTTTAGTTTCTCATGGCTTAGTTTCTCATGGTTTAGTTTCTAATGGTTTAGTTTCTCATGGTTTAGTTTCTCATGGTTTAATTTCTCATAGTTCATTTCTCATAGTTTAGTTTCTAATGGTTTATTTTCTCATAGTTCAGTGTAATCATTTTGGTTATATTTTCTATTTTGTTAACACAATTTTAAAACTTGCATTAGTTGCAAAAATTGTATGTTACAAACTCCTTAGCGATATTTCTAAATTAAAAGGAAAATATTTTTTTTTTCTTATTATTTGGTCGATGTTTTGTTAATTTTGGTTTGATACAATATTGATATTTCTCCTATTTTCGTTTCGCCTGAAACATTTGATATGTTTCTTAAAATGACTCTGCAAAAATGATAAATGTGTTTGTGCGATGAAATGTGAAGTCTGCAAGTTTCTAATTTATACACGAATTGAAATGTTTTTAGCATTCATTGGACAAATTGCCACTGAAATTTTACTGGAAGATTACGAAACAGCTGTTTTTGAAGACGACCTTTCGCAGTACAGGTAATTATCAGATAATGATGGCGCGACTTAAACCTTTTTTTAAACATTTTGTTTTCAAAATGTGCAACTAAATTAAAACATGTTTTACATTTTTCATATATACATACCATCAAAAATGGGGGGGGGGGGGGCAACATTTTTTTCTTCAAAAATCTTATTTATTAGATATTTTGTTCAAACACTCAAATATTTTTATATTTGTTTCTTGTTTATTGTAGATTGAAAAGCATGAAAAATAAGTTATATTTGAAAAATTGCCAAGAATAATTAGGAATACTGAATGATTTATAGATACATAATGTTTTTATATTTTATTTTTCATAATTTTGTAAAATAAAAAGGTTTAAGGCATGGTAAATAATTTCAAATGTTCATCTTTTTTCTCCTTTCTCCATCTGCACGTGCGCAGTTTTTCTTTTTCTTGCTTTCCTTTGCCCGTCCATTTATGGCGCTTCTTTTGAAAGAATGTTTACGAATCGCAGTCTTTGCGCTACTTATATATGTATATACATGCTCGCCTGCTATTTATATATAGATACATATATAAATGTCGCAAAGATAGATACATAGATAGATCTGGAAGGTCATCATGGATTGTTTAATATTTACAATAGATACAAAATAATTGAGCCTTTGTATCAAACTCAAATTATCTAATTCCTATATCTTTAAGACTGATGTTGTAAATCTTTGATATTTTAAACCTAGATTATTTATTCTCTGACATTGGGTTACAAAGATATAGCTGGTTTGTGGCTAAGAATCAATTCCTTTATGCTTTATGTCTGTTTCTAATAAACCGGTGAACCGATCCAGCCGAAATTATACTTGCTGGACATGCCTCCAGGGCCGGATGGTTTCACGGTGATCTAAAGGTTGCATGCTCTGAAGCAAAAATTTACGAGAATTTTAATTATCTTTTTATTTTTTTTTATGTATTGTTTAATTTGATTTGAACTAGATACTCTTAAATAAGATAAAAGCATTATACAAGTTAAATTTCTAAAATGTAAATGTCAGGCATTATGATACTTCAAAGTCGACACCGCGCCGTCTTGAAATTTGAAGGAATTTTTAAGAGCTGTCTGGATCTTTGTGGTTTATGGCCAGTCAGGATTAGAAATATCATTACGAAAATTTAAAATATCATCAACAAAATGTTATTATTAATATAAAATAATATATCGTCATAACTATCATTATTATCATTATTGATTACAAATATTATTGATATTTTTATTCTAGACAATTTTACACAAATGGCACAGTGGCTACCCCTGCTCTTATATCGGCTGGAGGAACTGCGATTTTATACCTAGTATTTCTCAGTAAGTTACAGTATTCGGAGATTATATAAATACAATAACGACAACTTTTTGCTAATAACGATTTGATCCCAACAAAGATTTTTCAACTTACAAGTTTACAAATAAACAAAGAGAAGCTGTAAATTGACAACTTCTCTTGGCTTAAATATTTTAGTGTTCTAAAGTTTGGTAGAAATTGAAATTGAAGTCGAAAGTCGTCTTTATTGTATTGATATTCTACAGATGAATGAATGTGGTTATCTTTATTCTCTTTATTATTTCAAAATAGCTCTATCAGTAACTCTTTTTAATTGGTTTCTTAACTTAACTTTATATTAACTCTATACTTTATAACTCTATTATATTGCAGTACCCCTTGGGTTCCTTGTGTAGTCATTACATGTATACTCTATACTTTATAACTCTATTATATTGTAGTACCCCTGTGGTTACTAGTGTACTATACTACATGTATACTCTATGCTTTATAACTCTATTATATTGTAGTACCCCTGTGGTTACTAGTGTACTATACTACATGTATACTCATAATTTTATAACTCTATTATATTGCAGTACCCCTGTGGTTTCTAGTGTACTATACTACATGTTTACTCTATATTTTATAACTCTATTATATTGCAGTACCCCTGTGGTTACTAGTGTACTTTACTACATGTTTACTCTATACTTTATAACTCTATTATATTGCAGAACCCCTGTGGTTACTAGTGTACTCTACTACATGTATACTCTATATTTTATAACTCTATTATATTGCAGTACCCCTGGGGTTCCTTGTGTACGCTGGTATACAGAATGCTGGAGGAAGGATTAATGCGCCAATCATAGGTAAATATAATACTTTGAAACTGAATCTGAAATTAGCAAATCTAAATGTAAAGGCCTTCAAACGGCTACAGGGCTAAAAATAAAATTGGTTATAGAAGATATAGATCCAAGCAAAATTAGTAGCGATTAAATGCAAATTTATTTCGGATTCCACCTATACCCTCTTTTATTTTTCGCAAACACTCCCTTTTAAAAAAGTTATATTCAAGAATTATGGTTCAATTAATTTATTACAGAAAGGGTGTCACAACTCTTTACAGGAAATTCGTTACAAAACAAACTGGACGGATATAAAAGGTGATTTAAAAATATTATTCTTTTTTGTAATCATTATTATTATCATTATTATTATTAATTCACTGATAATTATTCTTCTTACTATTTTTATCATTATTATCTATATAATAAAGCTCTTCGCTCATATATATATTTATATTTGTATGTTAGCTATAGCTGAACAAACGGGAACCCTTAACCCGGGGATAACATAGGCTAAACAAATTCAAATTTTTTCCTTCAATAATTGATATGTTTTTTTCCACGGGCAATGCCGGGCATTGTAGCTAGTTATTATTATCATAATAATTATTATCATTTAGTCTTGATACGAATGGTTGGTTGGAGAAAATACCTGAGTTATTAGAGAGAGCTCATCAAGTATATTCAGAATTAGTTAATTAATTGTTTACAAAAAATATTGTATTTTTGTAATATTTATTTTACATAATAAAACTGTTATGATTGAAAAATCAGCGATTTGGGGAATACACGATCTATCAAATTAGCGTTCACGCAATTTAGATGTTTGAACCCTTCTTCCTTTTAAATATTAAAAATAAGAATAAAATAAAATATGCCAAAATAATTATTTAGTTTCTAGTAAAATTTTAAGCTAAAACTTGGAACAAAAATATTTGGAATGTTCCAAATTAATTTCAAACTAAAAAATCTGTTAGATCAAAAAGTCAACGTTTGAAATATCAAAGGTTGTGAACATCAGGATTTAAAGATATACGGAATAACTAATTCGACGAAAAGTCAGTTTTTGTTTAAAACCATTTTTATAAAAAATGAGGGCGTGTAAAATCAAACCTAGGGGATGGGGGTGGGCTTGTTTCATGAATGGTAGAATAGGAAAATAAAAATTTTATGGAAGGTGAGGGCACTTCTGCCCCCCCCTCTCTGTATTGATGTTAAGAGTTTAAAGTTTTAACTTATATATTTAACTTTAAATATTCACGTAGAATAGATCTCTATTTCTTGGACCTAATATTTTTAATTAAAGATGAATATTTGGAGTAGAATACTAGGAGTTTAATCATGTAATTAAACAAAATTTAGAATTTTTGAAAATATTTTTAAACCTAGATAATTCCGTTTATATTTTTCACATTTATTGCTTCAGAAACAATTGGGGAATTATCAAAACTGAGCACTTTTCAACCCAGAAAAATGTTGTTTTCTTTCACATTTCTTGATCAGATTTAGATTTCAGGGGTACCATTGTGAATTGGACATGCCGCTTTCTAATTGGAAGGTTACTTAAAATTACGAATATGATCTCTGTAAAGGGAGAAACTGGCTAGGCATAATAGTTAAGCTGAGAGTGTAGTATTATAGATTAAGGATATAGATCTGTGTTATGGCGTGGAAAGCCTACCGGCGCGCGGGTTTGAACATCCAGGACGAATAAAAGGATTGAATTTGAGGTGTTGCTAAACAGCTATACACCATAAAAATGTCTCAAATGAATCCTGAAAATTTTCTTGTACAATACTTCACTCTCAGTTTAAGAAAAAACAAAGTGGACTGATTTCATGATAATCAAGGTTGCAAAAAAATAATATGGGTATACACTATATTAAATAATATGGGTATACACTATGTGATATTAAATAGAAAACACTCCCTTTAATTCACTTACCGAAACCATGGTATTTCCAGCCTGTATTACCAGTGTGAACTGTATTTCCAGTGTGCCCTGTGTTCAGTTTGTGGTGGTAACGCAAACTATAAATTGCAGCTAAATACAACCAGGTTTCGATAAGTTTACACGAACGAATCTCTGTGCTAGACAAACACACAAAGGTTGGAGGGGTATCGTTGTAAATCGGGCATTGTTATCTTTGCTTGGAGAGTCACCTTAATTATGCTTACAGTCCCTTTAAGCCCAGCCTGACACTGTATTACACGGACAGTATAATTGATTAGAAAATTAAACAGAATTCTGTAATATACTAATTATGCCAAATCATTTTATTGTGTGAGTTCGGAACTTCATTGTATACTAGCGTGGGAAAACTACCATTGTTCTGCAAAGGACTTAATCCATCTGAAATTCAGAATTATATAAATAGTACAATTATTTATGGTTTTCAAGAAATTTAATATCCCTGTTTTAATATCCGCAAATTATTCAGCTTATTATATATTTTCTAAATCTATTTTAAAAATCATGCTCCCTTGATACTTAAGGAAGCCACAGTCAGAATATTCATTTAAAGCGTAAAAACGAATTTTACTTCTAAGGCTGAGAACTATCTGTTAAAAAAATATCTCAGGTAGCCGTTAGCTTTTACCATATTTTCTATTTTTTTTTAAGTTACCGGTAGTTCACAATATTAATTTTATTAACGGTGTAAACGGAAGACATTCCAAAAAATGTTAACGTAGCCAGCCGTTAACGGCTGTTATTTAATTTAATTTAAATGAGATTCAATTAATTTTTCCTATTGTCATTAAGAAAATTTTTTTTCGTTAATAGTTTGTCAAATCGTGGTATCATAGGCGTTAACGGTTTGCTATAAAGAACTAATGAGATATCCATCATCCGATACTCTTTCAAAATCTCTGTTTTCAAATGTGTGAAGTGACCTGCACATTTCTGCTGTAGGTATAACTAGATAAAACTATCAATTCTAGCACTTTTAAAGGGATAAACCGGCTATGTAAGTAGTTGAACTCAGTATGCAGTGCTGTCGACAAATTTTTTAGGATTTATTTGAGACATATAAAACTTTTTAAAGATCTGTAAATCCTGAGTTTGAGCGCAAAGTCGAGGTTCAAAATCGTACTTTTGGGTGGAAAGGTTTTCAGATTTTTTTTTAATTATTAAATAACGACGACATAAAATATTAGCAAAATTCTACAGTAAACTAGTTAGGAACAGATTGAGAAAATAAAAACTATTCGAAAATAAATATTCTCATTCAATTATTAGTTTCTATAATCTCTCATTATTCACAAATATTTTTTGCAGATTTTCTGGAATTTTATTGAAACTAGCCTTAGAGGGCGCTTCGCGCCCATCTTCTAAATTAATTGTGACCATGTTCTCTTTGTGTACATCGTAAAACAAAATCAAAATAAATCGCGGATTTTCACAAAATATTTCGTGGATTTTCAAAATGTTCAAAAATTTAATGAAGTCGAATTTTGATGGAGACAAATATTTGAAATTTTGATCATTCATAAACCTTCCCTGGGGCTCCGTCCCACAAAAAATTTGGGCCCGATCGGTTCAGCTGTTTTGACGTTTGGATACAAACAAACAGACAGACAAACAGACAGACAAGCCAAATTTATATATAGATAGAAGACGACATTTTAAGAATTTGTAGAAATCTGGGAATAAATTCATAGAAAATAAGAAATTCAATATAATGATGAAAACGAAATAATTGATTTTAGCATTGATTTATTGACAAACTTTCGAGAAATATGTTCCTAAACATCTGATTAGTTTACTGTATAATTTTTACTTTATTTTTCGTCGTCTTTATTTAATTTAATTTAAAAAAAACCGATTCTGAAAACCCAAATTCATGATTTGAACGTCGACTATGCAATCAAACTCAGTAATTATACACGATCAAATGAATTCTAAAGAATTTGTCCACAACACTGCATAATCAGTTTAACATACCTTACATAGCCGGTCTGATGGGGCGTACGAGAGCATTTGTGTAGGGGGGGGGGGGCATATTTTGCGCGCGTGTGTTGTACCCCCCCTCCTTAGAACATTGTGCTCTCTATTAAAAACCCCTTTTTTGAAAAAAATATTGATACCTTCTTAACTTTGTAAACTATTCGATTATATACACACTTCCATATTACAAGTGTTAATAAATTATTTATGCAATTTTCTTAAGTGGACTCATCAGATAATCCCTCTTAATACTGTGGAGTAAGCTTCAAGGGATGAAAAATAGAGATGGAAAAGTTTCTAAAAAAACCTCTATAATTTCATAGGATCGAAACATATTGTTTTATAAATTATGATATCAAATATGTATTTACACTATAGGCAATATTGATTAAAGCTTTTTAATGAAACTTTTTTAGTTAAAGGCAAAAGTGAGATTTTAAAGTATTTTTTTATATAATGTAATTTTACTTAAAAATGGAATAAATGCGTAATTTCAAGTAACCCTCCATTTATAGAGTGGCATGTCCGATGTACCTTTGAAACCTTCACTTCTCCAACGTTTCTGAAGCTAGAAATGCACGAGTCACTTTTGTAGAGAAACCACAAGAAAAAATATTCAGTTTTCAAAATGGGAAACATGGATATTTAATACTATACTTGACCAGACAAAGCTTTGAAGGGTATTGTCGTGAATCAGAATATATTTTATTTCTTTTCTAAATCTTTTAGTTTGGGTGAGTGCAATGCAATGCAATGTAGAATGTAGATTGCCTGAGGAAGGTAAATGCAAGCAGATGTAATATTAAAAGAGCCTACACCCCCATGGGTGCCGGGTGCCCCCCCTCTTTGGCCTCCCTCGTACGCCCATGCCGATCTATCCCTTTAAAGCTAGAAAAAGTTACCAGAAAAAAAAGAACGAAAATTGTTGTTTTAAAATGTAACGATGCCAAAACTCCAAAAGTGTTTTTCAAGTATTCTCTAACTTACACTAAAAGCTATCTGAATCTATTTCTCTACCGATCAATAATTAACACACCCTTTTGTATTCAGAGTATATATCTCCAGCTAACTAGGTATAATGGTACAGGTAAAAATAAACTGACCGATATAATCATCATGGTACTACTGCAAAACAATATACAGGCGTCAGTGGTTACTAGACTAATAGTATGGTTGGTTAATTGGCTAATTGGTTCGTTGCTTAGGTTATTTTGGTTGGTCAGGTTGGTTCATTGGTTAGGTTGGTTCATTGGTGAGGCTCCTCAACTCGGACACAGTAGTCTCCAATAATCATTAAGTAGATTTATTTCAAACCTAGAATAAATTATAGGTGTCAAACATGAATTACAATGATTCAATATAGTTAAAATTTTAGATAAATAGTTTACTATTATTTCGTGTCTGAGTGAAAAGGAGTGGTTAAGGGTCAGAGGGTTTGGTGGTGTAGTTTAAAACATTTATAATACTTCTGAAAATATATACCCGATTGCTTATGTGGAATTTACTATGGATTGCAGAGTTATTTGGGTTTGGTTTGGACTCGGCTGGTAAAGACTACATTTCATGGACAAGGTCTCAAATGTGATTTATTGCCTACAACTATATAGATTAGCATACTCAGGGTACAAAGATATATCAAGATAATATTATATTTATTACAATAAAAACATATTCCATTTCTTTTCTTTTTCTTTCAAAAACGGCCAATCCTTTTAGTTTACAATTAAAATATTGCAAGTTTTTGCCATCCGTTAACGGACTTTTCCGTTAATTTTTGAAAACCTTTTTTTCGTTAACGGAGCTTTACCCAGCCCTACTATTATCTGGCGTACTCCGGTTTTAAAATATCATTTACTAGTCCGTTCATCATCATCATCTTCATCATCATCATCATCTCATCATCATTTTATGTCCCAAGTATTTTAGAATAATATTGCGGGGCCCTTATAATCTGTTTGTACTCCATGAACTCCATTTGTTATATAAACTTTATTCTAGCACTTACGTGAAATTATGAAACACGAAAGTACAAAAACAGTGCCAATAAATAATAGTGCATAATATGTCTGTTTTGCCTTCTGCACAATTATTAACCGAAGAATGCATAATTTCTTGTGATACAAATAAGCAAACTGTTAGAGAGACAGACACAAACACAAACGCCTGAGCTGATGATCCAGATGATCCATATAATATAAATGTGATTTTAGTGACCGGCAATTAACAGAAGTTTTCTTAATTAGACTTATCTTTGCTAAAAAATTATATCTTTATATAATAATTTCTGCATGACTATAAGACAATTGTTATTAACTTTCTAATAGACGACTACTTTTACAGTCTTCTGCTTTTAAGTTTGAAATAAACATCTATATGTTCATCACAAATGAAATAAATATATATTAATAATAAATGCTTTTTAAACTCCTAATTTACATGTTTGTTGTAGTTAGGGAGAAAATCTTGAATTTGTAAAGTTTTTATGAAACCAATTGTTCAGTCTTCTAAAGTTGAAAGTAGAATTTCAGAAGATGAAGCTTTATGAAACGGGTTAAAAGATATCAAACTAATGAGTAACATGGTAATATCTGTAGCTAAGAATGAAACTTGTATATCATATTGTGAAGTTTGATTAGATTTTTTTTTCAATTAGTTAAATTTAAAGTTTTTGTAATGATGACATTAATAATTGTAAAATATTTCTAGTCTTAACATCATAAATTGGGCCCCGAAACAATAATTTTAAATTATACCAAACCAAATAATTGTGTATGGCCCAACTAGTCGTAATTATTCTGTCTGTTCAACTTTTGTATTTATTCACTTTGATATTTTTGGTGGTTATATTCTTAGCCTCATATTTTCTTCTGCCCATAATCTATATATATGTAAATGATGTTAGGTACTTTCCCAAAAACATTTTCCTAAGCGGCACTTTCCCACGGGCATTTTCCATAGATAAAGATAGATTGCGCATAAGACGACATTTTTCATCTTGAACGATATAAATGTACAGACTCACAGAGATGTTTTAAAGATATTCCTATTATATAGATTAACTAGGTCGGTTGTGAACATTGGATGTTCTCAAGGAGAATTGAATACAAGGAGGGGGCAATAGGGTTTCCGTACACTTTGCTGTGACGTTTTTGGACTGCTGGAGAACTAGTTTTGCGTAACAACAATAATAAAGATTGTAAACAATAACACAACTGATAAACAGACATTTGGTGCATCTCTGGCGTTAGATGAAGATTCACCGTATAAACTCATGTTTGTTTACATTAATCGGCTGCCTTTATTATCTCAAAAACTAGTTCTCCAGCAGTCCAAAAACGTCACAGCAAAGTGTACGGAAACCCTATTGCCCCCTCCTTGTATTTAATTCTCCTTGGCTATTCTTATGTCATTGTGGTGTACATGAGTTCTGTAGAGAGAAATTTAAGTTAGTTTAGTCCTTCTCATGTCCTTCTTCAGTTCTCGTCAATATGATATATTGCTCAGTGAAATATTGTTGTTTAAATAGTTCCATTACCGAAGTTATTTTACACTCTATTATGAAATCCATTAAAACACCAAACCACCCCGCTTTGAAGTACACTTTGACCCCTAGAAGTATGAGTTTGCGGACTGAACAATTCTTGGTGATTTTGCGTATGGCATTTTCCCAAAGGGCATCTTCCTGAATGTGCATTTTCCTAAGGAAAAACTTCCATGAGCGCTGTGGCTAGGATGTAGCTAGCCCATCCTATCCACAGTGCTTGGCCCTTATTGCAGCCTTATGTGCATCAGATGTCCATTTCGGAAGTGGCTGCTTAGGAAATTAAACATTTAGGAAGTTTAGTTGCCAATTCAGAAATTGTCCACTTGGAAAATCCGTTGGGAGAATACCTAACACCATATAGATAGATTGTTACTTGGTTTCACGTCATTTTCCATTCAAAGCCTATGCCATTTGGTAAAGAATGACAGCATATGTTGCTGTTGTGGAAACCATTGCAGTCAATGTCGTCTTCTCTACATTGAAATATCCGGCACCAGTGAGAGGTTTGCTAGTTTGCAGTTCATCAGCAGCATCTCGGACTTTTCACAATATTGTTAATATTTCTTAAGTTTTTTAAACAAAATATTATCATTTCAATTAACTGAAACTAATTCAATTTAATTCCAAAATAAACAAGAACACCATATTAATTGAAATAACAGATAGGACGGTAGATGTCGTCTTTTCAAGATTTCTGTGTTTTATGTACAATAACCCTGATGCAGAAGCCCAAAGGAGTTACGTGTAGTCGGCGTAGAACAGGCTCAATCTCTGTCTTTGTTCTACGCCGATTACACGTAACTCCTTTGGGCTTCTGCTCCAGGGTTATTGTGAACGAAACACGAAGACATCTTGAAAAGACAACATCTAGTGTCCTATCTGTTATTTTAATTAATCTATGAAAAACACTGTCTTATACTAAATTGTATATAAAAGATTTGACGAAGAAAACCAGTTAAAGTTGGACATTGCAAATTTGTGGATTACAAATAATTGTGAAAATACCTTTCAGAACATCTTCTAACTTGGTATTGAAGTAAGCATCATCTTTTCCTGTTGGGTTTATGTTTTCCATTAATACTTATATATACAGAGAGAATTTATACTTTTAATTTAGATATTTGGAATATGCATATTCCCTTAAAAATGATTCATTCGAATTGGGCTTGTGCTAAGAACAAAAAATTACAAGTTGTGCTTTGAGAAGAATCTAATTTATGTAGAGGCATGGTAAAATAGACATTCTTTGAAAACATAAACCCTTACCTTTAGCTGCAACCTTAGCCACCAACTCATAAACACCTTCAAAGCTCTCGACTAAATCGTAAACAAGCAAAATCAGTCCTGAAGTTCCCAATCCAATGGTCCATTTCCTATGATCCTTTACCAAGAAGAAAATGGTGAGAGTGATTGCTGTTTGACAAAATGTGATGGAAAAAAATGCGACCAGCTCTATTCCAAGCTTTAATAGTTTATACTGCTCTGAAACTTCTTCAAGATCAACTACGGTAAGAACTGTCGAAGCTAGCGCCTTCTTGCATTTGTACTGAAAATTTCCAATGCAAGATTCCTGATGACTAAAGATTGCAATAAACATTATGAAATTGAAAAGAATAGTTAAAATGATGGATATAATTGTAATACAATCTTTAATTGGATCCAGTTTTGTTAAATAGTCTATATTTGTCAAGAATATTCCAGAGAGGAAGAGAAATATAGTAACGGTCTTCCGAATGATAAACCCAATAGTTATTGGACAGCATGTATCACTCACAGCTAAGTCTCCGGCCCTTTTCACAGATATACCTAAATAAAGGATTGTTGACACGAAATAAAAAAGTTATCCTAGTTCAGAAAACATCTTCAGTGGACTGTTAGCATATAGTGAACCTTCATGCGAAGATTCTCAACTGTATCAATTTTAACCTTTATCTGTTCAATAATGTTAAAGTTTTTTTCGCTTTCTAGGTTTAAAAGTGTATAGTTCGGATTATTCTACTTTTATTATCACTAAAACGGGATCATTCATTTGCCTTATCGTCCCGTTTTGCCTTTCACAGTCTGAATTTGTACTGTACAAAGTGCACTAGCTAATTAAAAGTTGGTCCTGTACTGTACTTAGAATTAACAGCAGTTTACAGTGACACTTAATCAGACATAGCTTTTAAGGGTACTGTGTTAGGATTGTAAATCGTTTTTAAAAACGATCGAAAAAACATTTGTTTTCGTTATTCTTAAAACAATCATATTCTTTTTAGAAAAAAAGATGGGTGACATCCAGGGCGTATTCAGGTTTTTGTCCAGGGGGACTTAAAAATTTTGGCCGAATGGCCAAAAAAATTTTGGGTTAGCCCCCCCCTGAATTGCTAAAACTAACCTAAAACTGCAGATGTTTTCTGAAAATTAAGTACCACAATGAATTTTCTGAAAGATTTTTGACATTTTGATATTTAAAAAATAAGAAATTACAAATTTAGTTAATTTATATATATCACAGAATACAGATCATGATAATACTACATATCGAATTAAGAAAATTAGATATTTAAAAATGAAAGGGGGTATAGGCTTAATGCGATAAAAAGGCGCTTTTGATCGCTACTAAACTTACTTCTATCTGTTGCGTCTATAAGGAGAAAATTGTTAAAAAGGACTAATACCGAAGAACGTTATAGTGTCCATACAAATTCAGAAATATGCAACATGACATAGACCATAAAAAAATCTATTTAATTACAAACAAATCATTCAGATATTACAACCTATAGTTATCGATTATCTTTCGCCACATTTGTATATAGTTGATTTTTCATAATATGTTTTAATTGTTATGATCTGAGAGTTACTTCTAAAAACATTTATTCCTGTTTCAAGTATTTTTGGTAATGAAGACAACATTTTCATATTTTCCAGGAATGTTCGAAAACAAGTTGTAAGCTAAATATTATTTTAAAAAATAAGATCATCTTTCTGAATTTGTATGGCCACTACGTTTTACGGTATAAGTCGTTTTTAACAATTTTCTCCTCATAGACGCAACAGCTAGAAGTAAGATTAGTAGCGATCAAAAGCGATTTTTTATCGCATTAAGCCTATACCCCCTTTCATTTTTCGCGAACACTCCCTTTAACCTTTAAAAATAACAACAGTTTCTCCTATAAATGTAACTCAAAAATATAAAATGAGTTTAATTGTGAATGCAATAAACTAGCAAATGCAAAAAAAATAATTTCTCATTAGTTTTAACTCCAGAGTCCAGGGACCAAAGTTAATGAATAGGAAGATTGAGACTAAGATGATTTACTTCTTCAGGCGTACTTAGAATGTATAAGATACATACTTTTTGAGATCATGTTTTAAAAAAAATTTAAAAAATTCTTTGATGGCTTAAGAAGAAAAAGTTGTTATTTCTACCGACAAAATCCTGAAGACGTTTAGTCTCCTGTCTTCGAGGCTTAAAAATCTCGTGTCTGACACCTTAGACAGTCTTTCAGGATGAATGTGCATTCTCGCCAAATCAGTTAATCTATGCTCTGTCATTCATGAATATACGGGGGGGGGGGCTGTGCTAATTGGCCACTTCTTAACAAGGGGGGGGGGGGGCGAAACCCCCCTGAAAATCAAAGCCACCACTTTTCCAGGCTGAGCCCCCATAGCCCCACCCCTGAATACGCCTGTGGTGACATCCAATAACAATGCATTCGTTTTGAACTTTTAGAAAACTAAAAACGAAACAACGATACTGCTTTTTTCTTGAAAAAAAAACGTTTTTGAAAAAGTTTCACAGAAATTTATGAGTTTTTAACATTTATTTTTAATTTATTTTACAATAAGAAAAGTTTTTGCAGGCTGTCTTATATGTTTTTTTTTATTGAGAAAAATTATCTGATGTTTTCTGATCCAAGGGTTTTTTAACTAAAAACTGTATTTTGTCTTAAAATTTTTTTAACAAAGGGTGGTCGTTAACGGTCGTTAACGATCATCAAAATAAGAAACAACCTGAATTTTTTAATGGAACGACGTACTAAAACTTTAAAAAACGACTTTTTTGTTTATCGTGGATAACAAAACGAAATGATTATTGCTTTTCAAAAAGTGAAAACGATGTATCCCTATCTGTTGCGAATCGGGTATTTCCATCTGTTCATGTAAGGTCTCTTTAAAATACGCTTCCAGAGCTGTTAATGGGGCTGTTCAAGTAATTACAAGTGGCGCCTATAGGACTGGGCAAAGTTTCGTTAAAGAAACGGAGGTTTTCAAAAATAAGCGGATGAGTCCATTAACGAATGGGAAAAACGGTTAATTTTTAAATCGTTAACGAAACAGATAAGCCGTTTTTGAAAAAATTATTAACAGTTGAAAACGAAAACGAAACGGTTTTTTTGCTGCTCAAAATTACATTAAACTAAAATTTTTTTATGTGTTTTGATGTTTTTAAATTTCATTTTCTGTGTTCGCACCGTTATTACTGTAATAATAATACTTGCTGTTCATAAAATTGAGATCGTTAACTAGCGGTAAATTTTTCTTTTATACCAATTTGAAATTACTGTTAACGAAACGGATAGAAAAAAGTTGGAACGTGTCCAGCATTGGCGACAGCTTGATAATTCGTTAAATGGATGGGCACGATCTAAATTATGAGAACAGAATTTTTAACATTAATGACACAAATTCTTGCCTATGACAAAAAGGAAAAGGCCTCCTGATCCTAACATGTTCACGTTAAGAACAAGCCAGAGAACCTTGTCACTACTGGTTGGGACTAAACTCCACCAGCTCCAAGTACAAACACCAATTGATCCAAAGATTGCAATACTCCAAAATATAAATCCTAAACTGAATTTGATCTCCTCCCCCTCTACTTTTAAGGGAAGCAGTCTCAATTTAATAAGAACGAGAATAATAGTGCTCGCGTTCATGACTTACAGACTCCAACTAAAACTTTGAACAATAAAGAAAAGATATTGATTACAAAAGTAAACATGAATTTAAAGTTCTTTCCTTTCTTTGCCAAGTGCAGTGTGTTCAACCAAAAAATGAAATACAAATATTTTTAAGTGCAAGTCAAAACACATTCTTAAGTAATCTTTATTAGAAGAAATACAATTGACTACTGTGGAATCCGGAAATCTGGCAATTGGAAGACGACATTAAAACTTTATTTATTGTATTTTATGTTACTAAAAAGTAAAAAACTTATATCTAGCTTAAAAGTATTATGTGAAATTAGTCTGGGCAAACAGGAGAACTGCTCTGTCTCATCATTGGACTATTAAAAATCACAACCTAAAAGTTGGCTTCCTATCCCACTGGTTTTAGTTCTCAATGTAGGTTCTACTGTCTGGGTGACATGGAAACACATCAACACAGAAACGCCTCAACATGGAAATGCCTAAAAAAAAACAGAATCATAAAACTAATTTAATGTCGTCTTCTCTCAACTTAAAATTAAAAAGACTATATTCTAACGATTCAAAGCCATGGCCGCAGCGCTCGGCCTCCTAGCCTGTTCTAGCCGCAGCTCACGGCCCCCTAGCCTGTCCTAGTCACAGCACTCATCCCCCTAGCCCATCCTAGCCGCAGCGCTCGGCCCCCTCCATAGCCTGCGGCGCAACCTAACCTACCCTAGAAGTAAATTTAAAATTTAGTGATGGTGATGGACCAAACCTCTGTAGAGTAAAAAAGTAGATGTTAGTTCCACATTTATTGAAAATATATTTCGGTCTGGGTTGACCCTAAGTAACATGGCAGCCAAGTGACGTATCCAAATCTGTAACATGGCAGCCAAGTGACGTATCCAAATCTGTAACATGGCAGCCAAGTGACGTGTCCAAATCTGTAGCATGGCGGCCAAGTGACATGTCCAAATCTGTAGCATAGCAGCCAAGTGACGTGTCAAAATCCGTGACGCGGCAGCCAAATTTAAAAAACAAGATCATAAGATAAGACAAATCTATTTTATATTGCCTTCCATGTCCTACAGAGACAAAAAATGTAAAAAATGTATGATACAGTAAATTTCCTCTCCAATATGAGCTATTCCAGGATCTGCACCACTTCCTATCCATTTTTATATACTCCATGAATTAGGCTATTCAAACACAGTTTACATCTTTTTGACATACATTTCAATAGGGCTTGACACGTTCAAACTTTTTCAAGCCATTTCGTTTTCGGTTCGTTCCAACCGTTTTAAAATAAAATCTCAGGTAGACGCTTATAGTTTTAGAGGGAAAGAAAGAAACTTCGTTTCGTTAATAACATTTTTCGTTTTTTAAAAATCACTGTTAGTTGATGAAATCGTCAAATGGGCAGCAGTTCTGCGCCATTAATGGTGGCGTTAACGGCGTTAACGGTGTTGACAGCTCAATTAGCACATGAAAAAAAATTTAAAACATAAAAACATGTAAAATTATATAACTTTTTTTTTACAAGTTTAATGCAATTTTAAGCAGAAAAAATTCAACTATTCAAAAATTCACTATGTTTGAAAAAATCCGACTCGTTTACGTTTTTAACCGTTATTTTTTTAAAACACGGCTTTGCTAATTCGTTTAGAAACTAACGTTTCGGTTGTTCATTAACAGAATCTTCTGTTTATTTCAAAATCCTTCGTTTTGTAAACGGAACTTTGTCCAGCCCTAATTGGCCTATTAATATAGTGGAAAAGAAAATTATTACCTTCAGGCAGCCAACTTTATTTTTGCTAATACAACTGCCTCATTGTTAAAGGAAAGTTAAGCATTTTCATAAATAAATTGCAAGAGAAAAGTAATAGGCTTAATCAAAAAGTGTAACAGTGAGCTCAATAGCTCGGAATAGGGATAGTTCCATTGATGTAACCCCTTCAATTCTCATACGAACCCGGAGCTAAACTCAGATTGGATAGTTCCATTAATGTAAATTTTTTCTTCTCACTTTTAAATTTTTGCAGCGCATCACGATTTTGTAAATAATAAGTTACTCTAAGTGCAATTACAAATATATTATATATATTCAAAAATGTTAAAATCGTAAAATCGATTAAAAATTAATTAAGTTTAGGCAAAAAAAAACAACTTTTCAGCGGAAATTTGACAGTCTTCCAAAAATAATAGTTTTTGGTCCTAAATCAACCAATTTAAACAATTTAAAAAAGACCAACAACTGGGCAATATTCAGTGGTTAGAGGCGCAACTTTAGACACCCCAATCGCCATGTTTTGAAATAATTGAAAAATCGACCTATATGTGATTGTTGATTTTTAAAAGTTCTTGCGCTGACCCATTTTTTTTAAATCAAAAAAAAATTTATTTTTGTAAGTTTAATTGAACAATGTTGCTGGGTGTTGGTATTTTTTAAGAAAAAAATCATTTTGTCCCAGGGTTATTTATTCTTACGTCACAAGTATCAACAGTTTTTTGTGTCCTAAAAAATTATTAATAATAGTGATGATTAAGTGATTATCTTACAGTGAAATAAGTGCAATTTTGTGTTCTTTATTTTCTGTTTTTACAATATTTCATTTAATCTGACATGTCAACTAACGGCCCGGAGAAAATTTTGTCTTCTTTGTAATATTTGACATTTGTGACGTCATGCATAAATGGTTCATTTTTCGGTGGCCACCTATGGTACTTGATAATTTGTTTGGGCTGTATAAAAATTAAAAAATTCTACAGAGCGTCCCATATCATATTAGATTGCCTCCAATCTTTAACACCAAAATAAACCCTTAATACTCGAAAAACTAATCATTTTTCGCAAGAAAGTTCTTATATAAGCCTTATGTTATTTTTCAAAATGATTCATTCTAATGAAATTTTCTAATTAGTCCCGAAAATCGTAATTTAGACCCGTTCTCGGTCTAATATTTCTTATTTTTGTTTTAATAACTCTCTACAATTTGTAAAACAAATTTTTCGCTGTCCTTTTAAACGATAAAAATTTACTTTTAGAGAAAAAATTGCATAATAAAACTTTAATATGAAATTTAACAAGATCAGAGTTCGAATTTGTTCTCTAACATAAAAGTAAAGTTTAAATTTATTTAATTTTTAATTTGAAAACATACAAAAAATCATGATCATTTAATAATTTTAATAATTTTAAAATAATAATAATAATAATTTTAATAAATATATTCATAAATAATATAACTCTAGCTCTAAACTTCAAGTATACTGCTTACAATATTTTTGATAAATTTATGATAGCGGTTTAAAATTAGTTCGGGGAAAATTTGTTGAAGACTTAATTCGTCTAAATACAATTCGGCGTCTGTGTTCTTGACAGCTGATTTTTGTCTACAGTAATTCCCAGAATCAGCTGTTTTAAAAGAGCTGTTCAAATCTTCATTTGAAAACCGGTTCTCACAGTCTTCTGTTTGCGGATTTCCAGGATTCAAGGTTGTGCAATATTTCTTTTCTAGAGAACAGCAGATTGAATTTAATCTAAGGTCTTCAGAATCTAAAAATTTAAATCTATTTTAGTCTCAACAAGCTTGTTTGTGGGTTTACATCATTGGGGTTATGTATATATCGTCCAACTAGAGCTGGGCTTTGTGACTTTTTTTTTAAATGGTCCTTATCAGTTAATTCAACCAGACCTACTTTCCATATCTGTTTGTTAATGATCTCAAAACTAATAATTTTGCCATTCTTAAACGAAGTTTTTTTTTCCAAAAAATACCGTTTATTAACAGAATATTACATAGCCTTACCTCCAACTTGGAATCTTGTTTGTTGGCAAGACTGTAGAAAGGGTTTGTTCTTCATCAATAATTTGTTTTCTAACAACACATTACCCTAAAAACGTGTTTTTTTATTTTTCATAGATTTTTTTTGCAGACATATCTGTAAAGCAAACATCTTGAACTTAAAGGGACCGTTCACTTATTTGGGTAATTTCAGGGTAAACTAAACAGCCTATTCGCTCTTGATTGGTAATAGTCTTACTTTTCAAAGACAACTGTGGCCGGAGAAAAAGCCGATTTTTCGTTCAGAATTTGAGCGGAAAGGGACGGTCCCTCTCTATAGACACTATTTGATGTTTTTTTTTTCAGTAACAGCAGCCCAATAACATTTAAATTTATTATATTTGAATGTCATTATGTGTTCGTTATTATGTACTAAAATATGAAAACTTTTGATATTTGAGTTAGCAAGAAAATTACATTTTTCGTATTAAAACATGTAAAATGTGTTTACAAAGACGACGTCTCTACGACAATCAATTAATCATTACTCGTATTTAGGTTCGTAGATTTTGTAAATTTTTTCCCGCATGTGCACAACTTTTCATTTGTCATGCCGCGTTCAATTCAGCTTTTTACACAGGCAATACACAATTTTGAATGCGATAAAATAGTGTTATTTTAGAAATAGAAAGTTAAAAAACAACAAAAATAAAAAAATAATGACATTAACAATAAACGATTAGATACTACAGTTTAATTTTATATTCGAAATTTATTTTGATCCACAACATACTGAAAAAAACATCAATTAGTGTCTATAGAGAGGGACCGTCCCTTTGCGCTCGAATTCTGAACGAAAAATCGGCTTTTTCTCCTGCCACAGTTGTCTTTGAAAAGTAAGACTATTACTAATCAACAGCAAATAGGCTGTTTAGTTTACCCTGAAATTACCCAAATAAGTGAACGGTCCCTTTAAGTCATCCAATCGCCATTTTTATTTATTTATTTATTTTTCTATGCTCTGTTGAGGTCAAGATTTTCAGAAATTAGCAGATAAACTTATTTTTAGTAACTTTAAAGGACACACCTGCTAATAGGTTTAGATTCATTTACAATTACATTAAATATTCCTATTAAACATTAAAAATTTAAAAGCTTTGAGAATAAACGAATTTATCTTTCATAAGCTTGGAGAGTTTTCTATATATAAATACACTTACTTTTAGAACCAACAAAGTTTAAGTGTAAGTGTATGCCTTTTAGAATTAGTTAGAGTATAAAAAAAGATTTGAAAGTTCTTTACCTTTTTATTTATTAATATATTCTCTATCTCCAGCTGGTTTATCGTTAAGTTTATCTTGAAAAGATCAACAAGGGTCTAGAATAAAAAATATTTTTTCATAATGCAATTTAAAGTGAGCCTACAGTGCAAGCCATAAAAGAGTGAAATTTTCATCGGCTTTTTATAAAGGGACTGTAAGTGTAATTTCACACAGTACGCTAGCGTGCACTCCAATTTTATAGCTTTTTACATATCATTTAAGAGACCATGATCGTATGGTTTAGGTAAAGAGAATAGAATATATATTACTAGGCTTTTAGGGCGCTTCGCGCCCATCTTCTATTTAAATTGTGAACATGTTCTTTTTGTTTACATTTCAAAAAAAGAAGAAGAAATTTGTGCGGATTTTAAAAAAGAATTCGCAGATTTTCAAGAAATTAAATTTCTTCACAAAATTAAAAACCTTTAAAACACATTTTTAAAATTTTTTTTTTATCATTCATAAACCTTCCTTGTGGTCACATGATGTCCCACAAAAAATTTGGGCCCGATCGGTTCAGCCGTTTTGACAGACAAACAGACAGACAAGCCAAATTTATATATAGATAGTGTAATTTACTAGAAAAAAGTGTAAAACAGCCGTCTTGTTGTGCTGTTTCCATACTGTAGGTGTACTTCACATATTTATGCTATATAACATTTTGGGCCCTGGAACATCATTTTATAGAAAATCTAAAATTATTGTTAAAAGAAAACCAAATTATGAAATAGGCTGGTTTCATAATTGACCAATGATCATTTCACATAGATTCTATGCCTTTCACTTTGTAAACGATGATGTTTTTTATTCACCTAATTCATTTTATAAAGTTTATTTAACAGCTTTAAAAAATTCGAAATTGAAATGAATAATCTAGGGAGCATTCTGTCTTATTGTACTCTACTGCATATAATTTGTGAACATTTACATGATTTGTACACTTTGAACTCCCTTTCAGGCTGAAAGAGATTGACAAAATTCATGCCGAGGGATTGTCTAAATTCCCCTCTAATATATATTCTATCTCTTTGAGTTTAGGGGGTACTGTTGTGAATCGGAAATATCCCTGGAATAACTGGAAGGTTTCTTGAAAGTACGCTATTATGAAATGTTGCTCAAGGGTCTGTAGTTTTCTATTGAACTATATATATATTAATACAATGAAGACGACTTTCTAGTTCCATTTTGATTACTCCCAACTTACAAACAGCTTGGGTAGTGGTACCCTTTAAAATGGAATTAAAGAGAAGCTGTCGATTAACAGATTCTTTAAATGTTTACTTGTAAACTTGTAATTTGAAAAAACCTTGATAGAAATCACATTTTAAATAAAAAAATCGTCTTTATTATTATAAACGCCAACCACTGAATGAAAATTTATTCAATCTACAGAGTACAGATCGACCCACTAGCCGCTATTCTATATATAATATATATCCTTTTTAATCTTTGAGGGATGAGGAAAATAGTTTTTACTCTTTAGTTCTATACCTGGCTTATCGACTTGCATACCTTCTTGGATAAACATTTTCTAAAATAAAATTTTTTTTTTTACCAACTTTTGAATCTATTTTGCAATTTTGCTGATCGATAAAAATCCTAAAATTACAGTTCAAAAATTACTATAGACAAAAAACTTAAAATTTTTTTTGAAAAAAATCATATTTCATGCTTGGATTAACTTTAAAAAGTTCTTCTTCAAGACAAATTATAAATCTTTAATTTAAAAAAATACCTTTCATACGATGGAAGTTTTTGTAAATATTCTTTCATAGGAATACATTCGCCCTCCAGTATATAAAATATATTCTAAAAATATTAAAAACATATTTTAGTATTTTTTGCATGATTATGTTCATGGCAGCCGACAATTGATGACGTTTATATACTTAGTTTCACACGAAATCCGACTTTTTTAACGATTGTGGATACTGTTTAACAATTGTGTAACATTTTAACAATTTATTTTTCTGAACAATACGTATTGAAATTTTAATTTTTCTACATTGATGAACTTTTGAAAAAAACTTTTACCCTGCTTTATCTAAATAAATGAAATGCAATTGCAAACTATTGCACTGTTGATATTGTTTACAATTTAAGCTCCACAATTTTAATTATGCAATGTACTTTTAAAAAATGATGTACTGTTTCAAATATGTACAGCATGAACTATGTAAAGTTTGAACTATACTGTATTTTTTGAATATGAAATGACTAAGTATTTTTTCCAATATGAACTGTTTGAACCACATATGTACTGTTTGAACTATGTAATTGTACTCTTTGAACTCTATGTACTGTTTGAACTTATGTATAATTTGAAATTTGTACTGTTTGAACTATGTACTGTTAGATCTATGTACTGTTAGATCTATGTACTGTTAAAACTTTGTACTATTTAAACTATGTACTACTTGAACTATGTACTGTATGACCTATGTTCTGTTTGAACTTAGTACTGTTTTAACTATGTACTGTTTAAAATATGTACTGTTTGAACTATGTTCTGTTTGAACTAGGTTCGAGTTTAGACTTAAGTTCTGTTTGAGCTATCTAATGGAGGACCTATGTACTGTTTGAACTGTGTAATGTTTGAACTGTGCATTGTTTGAACTGTGCAATTGTGTATTATTAGAACTGTGTACTGTTTGGAATGTGTACTATTTGAACTATATATTGTTTGACCTTTATACTGTTTGAATATGAACTGTTTGACCTATGTATTATTTGACCTATATACTGTATGACCTATGAACTATTGGACCTATGTACTGAAGTATACCTGAGTGGGTGGGTCCACGGCTAAACCAAGGATGGGTTGAACACCATTCAAACATACATTCAGCCAAACTCTTTCCTCTTCCCATATATTCGAAACCACCTTTAAATTAATAAACATTTAAAAAACAAATTTTGTTGTTCGAAATTAAGAACTTTTTCTTCAAAATGACGAAATTTTTCTCCAAAATAATAAAGAAAACGTTAAGAATATCTTCTTACATTCCTAGTATTCTGTTCGCAATTTTGAACAAAAGGTTCGTAAATTCGAAGTGATCTCGGAAAGGTCTCATCTCAAATATAGCGTAGCTTAAACATTATTTTAAATATTTTTTAGATACGATATATAATTATAGTAAAATGTTGTGTTTAAGAGATGGAAATCGATACCATCAATCTGTTAAATTAAAATCAATGATGAGTTTATTTCAAATCATGAAATGCTCTCTTTCCTTTTGATTTATCCCTCCCTCTGTCCTCTTGACCAATCCTGAATATGAACCCCCCACCCACCCACCTCTACTATTGAAATCTATTACTGTATTTTTCTCCTATTAAACATAGATGTTAGATCATTCAAAATGTACCTCGGTAAAACTAACAAAAACAAATTTAGATAATGGACGGTTCAGAGATAAAGATGGTTGGTTGTCTTTGCCCCACCTTGATTTTGATACGAACTTAACATTTGAACATTTCAAATTCCATTGAGGTATATACGTGCTGTCTGCTTTTATAAAATAAGACGTTAACACGGCTGAACCAAACATTTTTATGTGACAACTCACATATCCCCAGAAAATTTACATTCTGGAGAAAAATGTTGATTTTTTAAAATGTTTCAGAAAATCCGCAAATTTTTGAGTTTTACAATGACTGGGAATAAAAGGCAACATGTAAGCGCAAAATTTTTTTTTTCTGAAGGAGGGCGCTTTTTGTACATTTTTGGCTAAAACATTTTGTGGCAACACACATGATAAACAATGCTTTATAGGAATTCTAATCACTGAATAATTTATATAAAATAGGTATTGACACTAGTCGGTCCATGTTTATGGTTTATGGTATATACATTGGTTCTTTTCATAAACTTTTATCTTCTTAAGAATTTTGGAATTATAATTCAGTTAAAGCAATCTTATATTAAACTAGCTTTGGAACCCAGCGCTCTGCCCAGGTTTCTAAAAGTTACTCCCGCCGTTTACCCGCACTTGAACGATTTTACCGGGAAACTAAATGTTCGCTATTAAAGTCGACGCACTCAACTTAGAATCTCAAAACCAAGCTAAGAAAATTCCCGTGGGTCTTCCGAGTTCCCCAATAAAATTTTTCGGCAAATCGGTCCAGGAATCCTGAGTTATGATCGGACAAACAAACAGACAAGTACAGAGATAACAACTTAATATATATAGATACAGTTATGAAATATATGAACTTTCACATATTTCTGTAGTACATTTCAACAGTCCGTTTACCTTAAAATACAGGGTGCTCCACGAAACATGACAGTGGTGAATAGTTTTGAATGTGCAGTTTATTTAGTTCAAAAATCTGTTATTAAAATATATTTTACTTGAAATCAATTTTACTATAATACGACTGACATTTACTATTTTTTATTAGTCTCTTAACAACTTAAAAAACAAGTTAAAAAATCATGGAAGAAGACATTTCAAACTATTCACCAACTGTTATGTTTCGTTGGACACCCTGTATTTAAAAACTAACCAAGATGTTGCCTATCTCTGTCGTGTGTAGGCCTATCTATGCCTAACTTTGGTTTCAGCCTTTTATGTTTATTTAAATATTTATTCCTTTGAAATAAAATTATTTACTCTCAAGAAATGAAAGTACATAAAAGTATTAGAGCATTTTCTTTTTCTCTCACTTACAT